ATAATAAAAATCGAAAAGAATCAATCTATCTATTGTTCTATACTATTGACTACACTACAAATTTTTCGTTTGTCTAAACTATCTATCTATAATCCGGTTTCATTTGCTAAAATGGTCAGTTATACTTATACGAAATCCGGGTGAATATATATAAGTCGGTCATTATCAGTTGGCAGTAAACTAATTTATCTTTTTCAAATCTTAGAGAAAAACCCCGCTGAAAGTTTATATTGCCTGCCTTCTGTGATGCTAATAAATCTCGGAAATCCGCACAAGGAAAGTCATTAGTTGATGAATATGGCAAGGTTTCACAAGTAAAATGACTGTGCGACACGATAATCTGGTAAGAACGCGTAACGCGTCTTAGATTTGTTATCTAACTTAAACTATGTTTTCGAATCTTGCGTACTTCGATGAGTTACCTAAGCGTTGGTCCATTCACGGATATTACGAATTTCGAAAAAGACAAAGCGATTTTAGTGGTGATTTTCATAAAGAAAGTAACTGGCTGAAGATAAATCTGAAGACAATTGCAAATAAAAAAGAGAATTGTTTTAATAAGGAACAAGTAGAACGAGCAAAGCTATTGCTTCTTACCTGGGAGGTAAGTGCTCTGTTGATAGCCTTCCAGATACTCTTGACGCATCAGCATGACTAGGCAGGGAACTTTTTAGTGCTCTGTTGATGTTTTCTTAATGTTGTGATAAGAGTACCTTTTGATGCACTTGTCGCATCAGCATGACTAGGCGGGGTACTTTCTAGCGCTCTGCTGATGTTTTCTAATGTTGTGGGGTACTCTTGTTGATGCATCAACTATGTCTACGTCAAAGAAGTATTACTTCACCACTTTGTTTTAATATTTCTATTTGTAGAATCAATTATATGACCCAAATGTCGCCACTTTCTGGGAAGAAATACGTCACAAAAGGGAATTGGAAGTGAAGAATCAGATTGAGTAAGTGAACGTATAATGGCATTAATGTATATGTTGGTTCCAACACGATAATCCTAATTTTTTTTAAAGGTTACTGGTATCTTAAATATGTTTGAAGCGACGAACGTCAGTCAACAACACATTGTTAACATCCAACACCAAGACCTCCTCAGTATCTACCAACCTTGTGGTGCTGAACAGGTAATTGATATGGATATGTGTTTTTCATTATTTACTGCCTAATTATTTTACAACTTTACAAATTGATTTCATTTATATCCATTTAGGTAAACACACCTGTAATGAGCCTTCAAAATATCCTAAATAGTCCGAAAAAGCGAAAAAATGAAGATAACATCCAGGAAAGTTGGAGTAAGAGCATGATGGAATCCAATGATAGTGTAAGTTGGCTTTCGTGAAATTTATTTTTTTCCTGAGTAATGTATAAAATATTGAACTTTATTTTTGTAGAATTTGAGTGACGAGTTTGATTGGTCTTTCAATAATGCACATTCGCAAGAGGAATTGGATGAAAGAGTAAAATTGCCAACGTGTTATAATCAAGAGAATGAAAATAAGGAAAATGTTCCTACATATAAAAAAGTATGATTTTAAATTATAAGTGCTAAAGCTAAGAGAACAAAAGCTCATGTATATTTTTTATATTTAGACAAAAAAACGAGTGAAAAGTGCTCCAAACACGAAAAATCCGAGACCAGGAAATGATAGTGAAAAGTCTTCGGAGTTTCCTCCTCCTTTTGATGTAGAATTTGAGGATGATGTAGAATTAAAGTTTGATTTTACAAACATTGAAAGGGAGTTGCTACGGGAATCAACCAATGAAGTATGTCACATATTAATGTCCTTATGCTTTTATTCTGTCATATCTCACAATTTGCTTCTGTTTTCAGTGGGTATTTGGCGAAATCAATGTATCACAAAAATTTAGAAAATATCAAATAGAGGTACTCAAGAAGGCGAAAACTAATGGATTAAAGTGGAGTGAATTTTATGAGCTGTTGTAAGTATTTTTGAACATGCAATAATATTGGATGATGTATTATGCTAATGACTTCTATGCATACTTGATAGGGCATTGTCTTCGATAATTGTTCTCAGTTCGCCTTGTCCTTACCCTGCTTATATTTTCACCATTCAAGAATAGCAGATGATTACACGTGAAAATCCATATACCATAACTGATCCAGTACTACCAATGGAGGTTTTACCCCTTTTGCGGAATGCATTGGCTGATTCCTTGGAAGGAAAGACCACTTTTTTGTCCTTAAGTGATTCTGAAATTGGCCGAGTGGTTTCCCGAATCTTTAATGACATGTAAGCTTTCATCCCATAACATGTGTAAAATGAGATCAGATTTGCCTCTTAACTTTTTTCACGTATAACAGATGTGGTAGTGTTCCCGATGTTTCCCCAACTAAAACATCAGAGGATGAGCACTGTTTCAAGTTGCTACATCCAATCATTCGTCCATTGTTTTTTACTAGCTCATACAAAGAATACAATATTCGGTTGAATCGTGCTACAAGCGGTACTGCAACAAGGCCAGATTTTTCGTGCTTAGTCAACGAAATTCCTGTTTTGAATTCGGAAATTAAGCCACCTGGATTCACACCTCTCCAACAACAAAAAGACAAGTTGAAGGTACAGATGAGAGGGCGTAAGTCTATCAATCAGCTATTAAGAACAAAAGGTGGACCACCAGAAACAGTATTGCTAATAAATCAAGGTATATACCCTTGTAATTGATGAAGCTTGATTTTACTTTAATTAATTAAGTATATTAAACCATACCTTCAGGAGATTTGGTAGAATCATATGTAATGGATCTTAAATACGATGGACTTTACCGATCGTGGCCTTTCTTAACTACCCGACTGGTCAAAGATAAAACAACCATTCCTTTGTTGGAGTCAAACATTCGGCACTTTATGGCACTGGAGGTACATTCACAACATATTTCATTTAAATTTGCAATAAATCAGTTAATAATAACTTTTATTTATTTTTGCATTGGTAGGAACGCATCAACAGAATTGCTGAAGATTACAATCGTCGAACTTGTCAAAGTGACACAAATACCCCCCCCCCCCGTTGCAAATACAGTATATGCGAGACTTACCAGGTAGTCCGCAATTAAAAGAAATACTTAATTCAAAGTGTGGTTAGGCTAAATGTGCAAGTTTATTGTTTCGAAAAATGATGGAACAATTGGTTTATCAAAATACTTAATGTGACGTGCACATGATGGTGACGTTACCTAGTTTATCCAATGCGAAAATTTTCCTGTTTCCAATTTCTGTATGCTTTTATCTTTGATATAACACCAATTCCTATAGTCCAGATAAGATGTATTTTTATCAGAATAAACATATCAAGTCCGTTATGAAAAATACTGCATGTGTTCAACGATCACGGAATAACCATATATGGGCCTTCGTAATACATACCTGGTTTTTGGACAGTTCTTGGGTTGATCCCCTAGTTGTGTGTGTTCCTTGAAATAAAAGTCATGCGCGCGTTACAATTTGTAACGCCGATCACTTTTGCCAAGAAAAATTCTTAAAAAACCAGAAAAAATATACGCATATTCGCTTTATTGTTACAAATAAAATATAGGTACAGTGGGTGATCAAAAATCACCGGACAGTTGAAAATTTTTAAAAAAATTACTAAAATTAAAATGCTGATTCT